GGGGGGGAGGGGGAGGGGGGCGGGGGGGGGGGGAAGTCTGGTAGTCCAGCTGGCAAGAACCGGGTTCAATACCATTCCCGAGATAACATTTTAAACTGAAAACCCGGGGAAACTGATTAGGGGTTGAACGAAGACGCAGGTGATACGAAATTTCCTGCTGGTGATCTCCGACGTAAAGGGGCGAGTAACTGTTCCCCCGGTATCACCAGGAAGTGAGGAGTAACACGCGCTAATAGCGCACCCTTCCGCGATAAGGAACCTGCCCTGACACACTGCTCACCGGAAGTACGCAGAAGTCAGTGACACCGGCTCCAACAAAACAAAGCAGGTGTCCCGCCCATGACCACATTTTCTCGGAACTCGTCCAGCCAATTCCTCGCTGTGACTTGTACTCGGGAGAGCCTGGGTTCGACTGTCGACAGTAGAACGCGCCTAATCCGAGACAAACCACCTCGATCGACACTAAATAGACGTTCAGTTGATGTGGCGATAATGATGTTGGTCTTCTTGACTGTTATGCCTTGTGGACTTGCAGGTAGATAGCGTTTCGGAGAGACATACTACCTCCATCTTCAGGGCCGGAGTCATTTCAGCCAGACGACGTCCCAACCCAGAACATCGATGCCATTTAATTGTTTCACCAGTTGCCACCTTTATGGAAATCGAAGGTTCAAATTCTTTCCTTGGAAGATCTGTTTTACGTAATATAGAACCCCAACTACGCCTTCGCCATTTTTACATGCGTTCAAACAGAGGGTGTTTCTGCGTGAGTCTGGACTTACCGATCCCTAGACAAAGGGTAAAGTGGGCCAACCCTCCTGCCTCGCCAGCGGATCCACGGGATGATGATGGCGTTGAACGGCGACTTGGGGCTGAGCCATGGTCGCCGGATTTTACAGGTTCCTGAACTTTCTTCCCGGAATAATGGTTCTTCGGGATCATCACCTTCCTGGACATTGGTGTCTCTTCTCCCGCACGCCCTCAAGCCCATCCTCCGAGTCAGGTTCGCGAAAAGGCTCGGACACACGCAAAATTAACCTAATTTTCACGGAATTAAAGCAAATCTCTACGAGGAAGTGCGTAATGTCTCCCGGTGCAACGTGAATACCGGACTTGATAACGAGAAGACCGAGCATGAACCACGAGTAAGCTGTGGGCTGTGTCTCTCTACTTCCGGACAGCAAGTTGCGTGATTAATCGCTCGGATCTGCACAAACATTCACTTCACAATTTCACGAACACTGTTTAATATTATCACGAAACATTTGTCATAAGATAAACTGAAGGAGTTTAACGCATCACGGCATTACGCCGAACGTCTAACTTAGGAAATCCGTCGAGAAGTTGCGAAGTTTCATATAATTTATTTGAGAAAGACAGAAACAAATTAAAATTGCAATAAACTCCACAAAATTCATTGTATCTGTGATTTCTATTAACACATTAAAAACCCAGTGGTAAAAATATGTACCAGTTGCTTTAATAATAACAACTCTGAATTCTGCCCACAGCTGCGTAAACAGCGATTATTTCCTTAAACAGCGTCAACCAGTCGACCTTCGCAATGGCGAAGCGTTGTTTTCTTTGCGGTACGGGCTGAACTCTAGGCTCCAGACGGTTAAAAGAAATAAGTTAGTGTAAGAGCGGGCGACACTACACAAAATTCTGCTAGTTATGTTTTTTTCACCACAAACACAGAATTGAATTTCTCTACATCGAGGGAAAAATACTGAACGTCATCCTAATTTGGTCTGTGAGTTAAAACTTACGCACCAAACTCTAAAGTTCTCAAATCATTTGTTTTACGCACGCAACGTTACTTTAATTAAGTATAGTACAAGCAGAACGGAGTTTTCGGCGACTAGGAAGTAAACGGATTTGTGGCTCTAAGAGGCATTTAAATGCGCTGTTAGTCACTTCACTGCATGTAAAATTCGAAGGTAATAATCCGACTTGTGGTAGATTTGTAGAACTGGCAATTGAAATTACCACCTCGCCACGGTTAAGTCATTGACACTGCGCGCCTGGGGAACAGACTGGCCGCCCTACGGGGTCACGACGTCGACGCAACTGGACAATCACAGAAGGCTTCGAGCGGAGCGCGGTCTCATTGCTGCTGCAGATTGCTGGCACCGGATTGGTCGGATAAAAGGGGAAAGCCCGGGGGCGGGGGGGGGGGGGCACACACAACGCACTTGTCACAATTGTTACGTATTTGACGTAAGAAGAGCACAATTCTAAAATTTCGCAGAACTTCCATCTTCTGCAATGTACGCATAAACGTAAATTTCTCATAATCTGCGAGCAATGACTGAACGCACTGCCGCTCGAGACATTCGGAACTAAACTGTTTACTACAAAATTGTTAAAATATGACGCCGTATCCTTTTGCACCAATCATCAAACGAACTGTTGGCAAAATAATGAGCTTCTTCTTGCTTTAACACTAAAATACGTGATTCCCCGTCGCCGTCATCAAAACAGCGTCAGCCATAGCCGAGTCACCTTTAAATGTTGAAAACCACAAGCAATTTACGTTCTGACGCCAAATCGCCACAGACACTTCGAGGCGCGCAGAAGAGGCGACTTGCCACAGTCCGTTTCTGGGGAGTCGGCTTCTCGGAACAAGCCGAATTTTAACCTCAATTAACCTCCGCGTTTTTATAGAACATTTCACAATTGTCGACGCTCGTGTCTTTAGGAGTGCGACGTGACATCTTGAATTTCGGAATTCACGAGAATCGTATGAAATGTTGGCGCCGTCTCACAAAGAAAGGACCAAAAGTTACAGACTCCCTCACTGGTCGTAAGCAAATTTATTGCTCGTTAATGTCGTCCACTTCAACTGATGTTTCTAAGAAAAAAGTAGGGTTAATGGGTCTCAATGAATGGATTTCCCTGAAAATTATTCTGAACCCAGAGGCTCGTGCGTGATATGCAACGTAGATCTTGTTACGGCCTGCAAGATTCTTTTGTTACGGTGAACGTTTAAGGAACAGAATGGAGTTCACTGCAGTTACTCGCATTTCTTAATGCAACGAATCGGTCTGCATAGTTTTTTAACCACCAACACCTGCACTACGTGGACGTAAAAGAGAATTTCGAAAGGCGGAAGATACGACATTTCGGGCTCGGGCTCGCCATCACGACAAAGCGAACAATGGACCGACTCGGGAACGCAAGAAGCGTGCACTTCAACAACAAATGCTGATGCTGCGTACCGTTACGCACGCCATTGCGTGAGGCCTGCGTCGTGACTCATCGCAAAACGAAATTCTGTGTCCCGACCGCAGTCTGTTCCGTGGTTGTCTTCGTAATTATTCGAACCGCAGTCAAGATACAAATATTTGTTGTTGTTTTTTTCGTTCCCTGCTCGCCATCAAGGCCTTGCGAGGGGCTGCCCCCCCGTCAGCATTCGGAATGTTTCCAGCTGGCTGGTTGGTGTTTGATCTGGACGCGAAGGCAAACGAAAACCCTGGACAACGATAATGACTGCAGTGCTTCAAATAATAGGTTCGTGACAGGCGACGCAGACCACGTATTCATATCAGCACGAAGAAAACAAGACAAGACAAGAGGCAACCACAGATTAATGTTCCGGGCGAACCTTCGACGGAACAGAATAACTGGAAACTCAGATGAAGCAGTGCCGTGGCACTTGCAATCCAAAGAGCGAATGAAGGAGGTCATCTTCAGGGCGAGGAGCGATCCATACACATTACAGGTGAATACACGCTACTTCCTGGCGGGAACTACGGTTGCTAAGCAACTGGAATAAATTAGGGTGAAAGAGAACAATTGAGTGGCCACGGGAGAGGTAGAGCACGTGGCTGGTTCGTGGGAAGGGGCGCGGTCAAAGCGACGGGTATTTAAAAAGGACCCAGCAGCGGAGCACGTGATTTTGTCTCAAGTTGAAGGATCTTGCGGAACTAACGGAGACAGGAAGACTTGAGTTATCTGTTCTGGAGCTTTAAACTAAAGTCTGCTTCCTTTTTGTCTGGCGTGTTAACGATCGATAACAGGGCACTCTGTCGAGTCGACGACGAATGCAACGCTGACCCCCGTCCCCCCGTCTGGATGAGTCACTGGACGAGCACGAAATGCGGGGCAGTGCAACACGCGAGGTGTCAGGCGGCGAGAATGAAGACGCCGTCTTCTGCAGGAAGGGTGTGGACCGAACGTAAAACACGAAAGCCACTTTCTTCGTCTCCGAAGACGCCGGGCGTTGGAACGCGCCGGGAAATTTTCGTCTCAGTCCGCGTCGATGTTCCAGGACACAAAGAACTTTGTGTACATTGCATTTGCAACAGAAATAGTGAAGATATGACAAAATGTTCCAAACAGATGTTCCCCGGCGTTTATCAAAACGAAAGTTTCTATGCCTCGACCGCCTTCACCCGCAATCAGCTCGCCCCAGCGACGAACGTGTATACTCGTTTACGTAATTTGTACAAATGAAATATACACAATAACGTTCGTGGATGTTTCCTGAAGCAGATCTACAGGCGACTTTCGATACCACAGTAGCGAGCTGATGGGCTATGCTATTAGAAAACTATTGACACAGCGCCACGGCCCCAATACGTACTTTGATTTTGCTTTGCTCGTTGAGAATCTCCGGAAGACGCGACTCAGTGTGATGGACCTTCTCTCCATTGCAGCGAAATATGAAATGTTTGTAGCAACGTCAGGAATTGTTCCAGCTTATTAGCGTGTATCAGACAACTAAACTGTTATTATTACCACAGTAATAGAATTCTCACTTAATACTGAATTTCAAGAACACTGTTGCCGGTCTTTGCAGAAGCCGACCGTCCGCTGCTCTACGAATCTCGTAGGCTACTGCTTTGGCGTCTTATCAACTATTTATAATGCTCTCGCAAAGGGCGACATTGTTCACTTCTAGCCGAGGGACGCGCAGTTCTGCATTCCCTATCCAAGTCCTTTTTACCATCGCCCTGCTGTCGTGGAGTGGTGCGATTCGCTGTTCCGAAGGATCAGACAAGCAAACTCAAAAAAACGCCTTTTTAGGGCGGTATCGCACTAGGATGCCAACGGGAGGCCATGGCGCAGCTGCCAGCATCTCGGCCAAACTTAATGCATTAATTTAGTAGTCATATAACGCACCTGGCATCCGTCTGGCAGCGCTTCCAACGTGGCATCGCTGCCAACCAAGATGCCAAGTTCAAATGCTACTGGCATCACTGCCAAGGCCAAATCAACATCACATGACAGTCTGGACAGTCCATTGACGTCCGTGCGTGAATGTGCTTGTGTGTATTTCTGTTTCTTCCAAACGTGGATAATTTCGACACCGAAAGATTGATAATTGAAATTCAGTCCCGACCATCACTATGGGATTCATCTGCTATTGAATACGCAAACCGGGACTTGAAAAAAAGAAACTGGGTAGAACTTGTGGAAATATTTGGAGGAGATTTATTTACAGTAGAAAAGAAAGAATTAGCTAAGAAGTGTTTCTATGGCTTTATTTGTGGGGCCGCTTTCCAATATGGAAACTTGATTTTTAAGGTTTTTTGTTTAGCAATCTATATATCACAAATAACGTGAATTAAGAAGAAACCTGCTTTTATTATGTTTTATTAAATAAATTTGTTCATGTAATATTACATGTGATTTGCAAGAACTGAAATATTTCAAATTCAATAATGGTATGGACGTGCAAAGTGTGTGTATGGAGAATTTTTCTTACTTATTTCTTTGTTACAGAATTGAAATTCACTCCAGGTATGTAGTTTTGATAAAGGTAAATCTCATTTTCTCAAAAGTGATAAAAGTGGACATTTCTCCTTGCTAATAGCCCTTCATTTCGTGCTCTCATAATGTCGATCCATCTGTTCGCTCGACTGGCGTCGAAAGCTGGCAGCTTGTCTGGCGTCTTTTTCTGGCAGCTGGACGCCATGGCATCGCTGTTGGTGTCGCTGCCATGGCATCCTAGTGCGATACCGCCCTTAAAGTCTCGTTCTCGGAAGTAGCTCGTATATAAATCACACAGATAGCGCACTTCAAGTTCAGTAGCTACCGTCATCAAATCAGGAGACGGGCAGCATAAAGCGGAAGCCAGATCAGACAGTTCACCCAACCTAACCTAACCTACCTGGCAAAAACAAGAGAAAAAGTTTTTCAAGCCCGCCTTCGCGGTGTTTACTTACACGGACGATGGTTTGTCGCTGACAGCAGCCGGACACACGTCGAGTGTCGCAAGAAACAGTTCTTCAGGATAGTAAATGAACTTCACGAAGTTCCACAACTTCTTCCGAATCCACGTGGTCATGACGGGGCCGTTCAACAATCTGCAGGAAGGAAACAGAGGCACGAGACCTTTCTCAAAAACAAATGCACGTAGTCTGAACCAGAAACTATGTTAAAGTTACATTTTTAAGGCGATTGTTTACCCCTGTGTTAACTGGGGGCGCGATGTTGGTATCAAAGTTCAGACGTGTGCCTGTCTGTATTCGTACCAACCTGAGTTAGTTGAAAAGAATCTTCCGGAGATGCGCGTCTGGTGATAATGGAGGCACACAAGGCCTTGCGAAATAAGACACTTGTAACTTTGCATCGTAAACCGAAGACTCGAAGCTGTCGCTCACAGGAGCTCACTTATTTCTCAGGCAGGGCAGCCAACACAATTTATTTCACTTCGGTCTGACCCTACGAAGTCGTAATTTTCAGTTCTTAAAACCACAGAATGAGATAAAGCAAACTAACCTCAAAACCATTTTCACGCAAGGATTGATTTCCGTTGAAGCATCTCATATTTATGAGATACGAAACCGAGCACTTACGCACTTGCGTGTTAGAATAACGACAAGACGCTGCTTCTTAGCGGCACTCGACGAAGGTCAGACATCGCTAACAAAGACCGCCACGTGTTTCGGCACAGAGGACAGGTGACAAACAGACGCCCCTAGTGCAGAGAACATCCCTGCTTGCATAATCCTCAAATCCATCTGCAAGATATCGCTCGACAATGCAAACAGCAAATCACGCCCGTGCACAGTCGCCAGTTGATAGGCAGTAACTTAAATTGCAAAGAACGTACTTGGAATCTTTGTACTCAGGATGGAGTATAATGTTCCGCTCTTGTAATATCATTACAGCCAGAGGAACAATACAGAATTACTAGGCTTAGTCACACGCAATTCAGGCTAGAAAATTAAGTTCCGCGTGTGGATAGTTCGAGGTATTTCAGATGGTGAAAGTAAAATTTTGTTTTTGGTAAAAAAAACAAAGCGACTTTCTGGTGTCAGAAAAAGTGTTTTTCACGTGCTCTGAGGAGAAATCAATCAACCAAAGTTTTGTTCAGGCGGCCATTGTTTTGCAGAGGCCAGCCGAGTTTGCGTTGAGTCGCTAACAATTCCACATGTGAATTAAGTTAAGTGCACGGTCAAAGGCGTGAACAGAAACAAAGCCCCCTTTCTCAGAGGTTTGTGAATACAACGAAAACAAGATGGCGTACCGTCACAGAACTTCTACGCGTCGAGGAGCGTTTGAACATTTTATCTCAGCACGTGCTGCTGATTATTGGAAATCTGACCCATTCGTAATTTGGAGCGCGTGAAATGACAGATTTGCACAATTTCATGCACAGACTCTCAAAAAAGAAAAGATTTCGCAGAACTCAGAAGACAGCCTTCAGCACTGGCAAAGATCGGGAAAGTTTGTAAGACAGCTCTTACCTGATTAATAAGCTCCTATCTCTCAGGAAAATTGTTCGTGAAACAGCATTAAAAGCGACCTGACACCATCCATACCTGTCTCCTTCACGAGCAGCGGCAGGTCGAAGTTATATTTTGCACGAAGACCGTCCTCCTCACCCGCGGCGCGTCGACTTGCCAGTGCCCGACACACGGCGAAGGAATCTCCTCGCAGGATTTCGAAGGTCGTCGTTAGCCACCTTAGCGTCCCTTACATAACGAGTCTCATTAACCCAATAAAAACAAGCGCGAAGCATCGCTGCTCCGGATTCCGTTCTCTCAGCTTTCGGATCAAAAAGACGTGTGGAGCTGGGGCTGGAAGACCAGGTTCAGTTCCCGGTAGGCCTCCACCTTCAGACCTCCTACCAGTGGGTATCGGGGAGTCCTTTCCTCGCAGGCGAAGGTTGCCCTTCTGTAAGCATCTTCAGGACACGATGCTTACAGAAGGCCAACTTTGCAGTATTATTGTCATCCTGGATGGTCTGAAATATGAAGGTAGAAACATTGATGGTAATAAACTACCAACATCCACACTGTTACTG